ATCATCAAGATTAATGAGGATAATTAGGTTTCGTGAATTATATTAAACATATTCATTTCCTTCCCACCATAACCGTACATATTCCTAGAAAGCCATTTTATATTATATTATATTATATTATATTATATATATAGTGAGCAAAACTTTAACTTGAACTATTAAGAAGTGTCATCAAAATAAATATTTATCGTTTAAAAGGGATTTCGACACCTTATAACAAGTTTAAAACAAGTGCACGTAACTTTACTATCGTGACCAAAGCTTTAATTAAATTCTTGGGAAGGGTCATAGCGATGCAAAAATATAACTCAAACTATTTTTTGGGTTTTATAAGGAATTTTTCTTTTAAAACAAGGCACAAGATTTATTTTTATTATTTTTTTTTCGGTCGCTACAAGTATGGGTCACATCCATATTGGTCTATTTGGTTGCCATTTCTGAAAGTCAAACGAAAAAAAATTAGTTTCTAAAATTAACAATATAAGAAACCATTTTTTTCTTAGAATTTGTTTTAAGTTTGTTGGAATTTATTTAGTGTAGTTGGTGAAACTGGATTCATTCATACTATATATGCAATTTACATATTGGATTTATACATACATATATGCAACATACTATATATGCAGATTACCGTATTTGTAACAGCTTACCATATTTACAACAACATGCCGTATAGCATTAGTTTACCGTATTTGCATATACCGGTCTTGTATATACTATATATGCAGTGCGGTTAGATACCGTATTTTCATATACCGATTTTTGCACTTACAAATATCGAAATTGTAGAACACTGTATACGTACTTACCAAACCGAATGTCAGTAAAAAATTTCCAGATTTTTATTTTTAACATAAGAAGAAAATAAACTTTAAAATATATAAAGCACAAAAAGAATATAAATGCATATAAATCTGCAAGTCAAACAAGTAAGATAAAATTCAGAAAATAAATAAATAAGAAATAAATTTTCAACCTGAGGCCAATGTGAGCACAGTTTCCTTAAAACAGATTCACCCCCTTATCGTAAGTGTTTGAGATTTAATTCGAACGTCTGTTTTCCAGGATACAATGGTAAAACTAGTAGGATCTGAGCACCACAGATATTAGTATCCGAACAATATCACAACCAGGACAACGCAGACAAAAATTGAGAAGTATGCAGACAGACCAACTTCATAGAGAATGATAATATGCAGATACAGTTTTTCTCCTGTATTTCGTGTGTGTAAGAATTGATGGAAAAATGAGATTTGATATAAATTAAATTTGCCCATTAACTCTATGGCAATAAACATGGGAGTCACTTCAGTTTCTGTAGTAATCATTGGAGTTTTAGCAGTTCCAAAAGCTCAAAAGGCAGTTGAAGAAAGTAAAAAAATTGCAAAACATGGACACTCCAAACGGGCAAATTTTTGCTCCATTCGGTCCGACATTCGTGTATGTAGGTCGCGCTTATACACAATTTCAAGGTCCGAAAGCTATTTCGGTACCTGATTTGCACCCCCATGCACGCACACGAGGAGAGAGCCTCTATGCTACAAATGATTACTTTCTTCCAATGTATAGTTATATATAAAGTGGTTCATGCTTTCTTCATTTTCCTATGTGAGACAAATCCAATTTTCCCACATAAACCATCTTCCAATTGTTAATTTTGAGCCCCAATTTTTCATTCATCCAAGCTTCATTTTTTGCAAGTAAATATATGATTTCGATGTTCTCACGTAGGATAACACAAATCAATTTTGATCTTCCAAATTAGACCAACAGGTCCCACCGAAAATTGTGCCAAAAGTAAGGCATTTACACATTTTTTTCCAACACTATGTTCCATAAACTCTAGAGGCGACTCCAATACATATAAATCTTATTCTCGATCCTAAACCACAAGAGATGGGAATCACCACCTAGGACTTTAGTTAACCACTAACCACAAGAGATGGGCATAACCAACTAGGACATAGTTAAACACTAGCCACAAGAGATGTTAACCACAAGAGATGAATGGAAGCACTATGTGTGAGGTGAAATGCGTTGGCACAATGAATAGAGCTATAACATGTGCTACATCCCCAATATTTCGTTTAGTGGGTGGAAGGTCACACTTATTCAAGAATTGTACACATTTGATCACACTTTACAAAGCTATGACCCTCAAGCCTTGATGTGAGGTCACAATAATTGGCGAAAGCTAGTGCCAGTTTGGTAGAATGGAATTTACGATCCTAGAAAAAAAATATAATCAAGTCATCTGGAATGATATAACATTGGACATGTGGTGAGAAATGAGGAAAAAATAGAATTTACGAGCAAGTGGAAAAAGCATGTTTTTGCGTACTATAGATATGATGTGTGGCGTGAAGATACTTGTAGAGAGGTTTTCTATAATGCAATTCTCTTTGCATTAAGTATGTTACGTGTTTGCACACTTAGGCAACCCACCAGGGCCCACAATCAACTCATGTCAAACCACGTGGCACTCAAGCCGAGGCACACAAAACCAAGGTCCACAAAAACCTAGGCCCATATATATCGAGGCCCATCTATCATTTCTCTTAAGGAGCATCCGAAGCCCATATGCCGAGGTCCTTTGAAGGTGGATGAGGCCCTGTTGTCCGAAGCTCTGTAACCAAGGTAGCAGCCTTAGAATCACAAAGTAGTATCTTCCATAGACACTTCTCCCAAGAGATCCTCTGCACAAAGATCTTACTTGAATGATTGATAGGATGTTTGTCATGAGTGTAAATGTTAAGTCTTATCACTACTAGAGGCGGCTCTGCCAATCAATAAATGCATAGCAGGCTAGGTGCGACTGATGCCTACAATTTAACATGTAAATTAACCGGATAAGTCCACGTGTACCCCAAACCAAAGGTCACGATCTAACTTGTGACACTATAAATACTCCCCCATGTACCCCCTATAAAGGCTAATGCAAGAATCAATACATGAAACCATACTTTACTCAACTCTCTCTTTCTTATTATCTTGCAACACAAATGAGTTCATACATATTTAGATACACGTTTACAAATATCGATTCATAATTATTGTACAATCGGTCTACAAACATCCTACCGAATTCCAAATGTTCTCATCCCACGTCGTTGAGCTACTTCCACGCCCTTGATATGTCTGTTTTAGACCGTCCACGTGTCTTAGCGTATTGAACTTTCGCTCACGTGTGAGTGGGTGGGTCCGGCATCTGTTGGCAACATTTTTTGGGGTCAATAGATTGGCGCCATCTATGGGAATCCATACAATAACCACGAACAACGTTGTGGTGAAAGCTTATTGAAGAGGAACATTTGGGTATCCCCCTGGAAAAAGGATTTGTTCTTGAAAAAGAATAAGACGAAGCCCCGCAACTTAGCAAAAATTTGAAGGTCAAACAAAGAAAATGAGTTCAAATGAAGATATCCCCCAAGGAGGGTAAGAGAAAATATAGGTGTGCCCTCTCCAGCAACTGCCCCAACAGCTCGGTACCGACTCCTCCACTACCACCATAGAAGAGGTGGAATGTCAGTGACAGCCCAGCTATCAAGAGAAATGGCCGCCATGGAAGCCAACATGAGGGACATTGCTAGCCAGAACATGGCTATGAGGGAACTCATCGCCCAAATGCAAGGCTAGGAAGTTTCCCTATTTCTCCATATGCCCCCAAGGGCACTACTAGCAAGAAGATGGGGTTCAACGTCAGAGGGCTGCCTTGCTGGACTACAGTCAAGGTATAAGCCCATTTGAAAGGGAAGTGGAAGTTGATGTTTCTGCCAACTACGCTTCTGGGTGACCTACTGAGGTCTCTTTGAACCATGATAACTTCCCACCTCCATATGAGCAAGAGCGAAGACATAGGAGGTTAGGTAGTGTATTTGACAGAATCAGCCCTGCAGAATTGAGGCCAAGGCAACAACAGCCTTATGAGCCTTGGACAAGGCCACAACCCCCACCTCCAATACCTCAACAGCCGGAAGAAAGGCATGAAAATGCCCCCCGTACTGCACCGCCTAGAAATAGGCGCCAAAGAAGGGAAGAGGAGGCTAGTAACCATCCCGACACCTCTCACCAACCACTAAGGTATGAGGCCGATGAAAATGATTCAGATGAGCAGCAGAGGTCCTGTGACTTGGATGACGATGATGAAAACCTGCCATTCTCAAGGGAACTAAGGAGTGCCCTGGTCTCGAACCACTACGTTATGCCCAAGGTACCAAAGTATGACGGAAGAGGTGACCTTAGCGGAGCAGCTGAAATTTGGTATAGTAGGTTATTACCTGGTAGCATAAGAAGTTGGCCCGAATTCAAGACCACCTTCTTGAAGAGGTTCGCTGTGAGGGAAAGGCTCATATCCAACATCCCCAAGATATGAGACAGGCACATAGGGAATCCTTGAAGAGCTTCCTATCACGCTTCACTAATGAGATGACATACTGTGTGCAAGTCATCAACTGTGAGGCGTTATCTGCACTTAGAAGAGGCCTGAACATGAACACCTTATTTTGGAAGGACGTGCAAAATCAAGACCCTACCACCTATGACGCCCTACTCGAGATTATAAGATGGGAGATCATCAATGAAGAATTGATTAAGCATAGGAACAGGGTAAGTAGAGGCCTCCCACCTCCACAAAGACAGCGTGCTAGAGGGCTGACTTCCTACTTGATGGATTATCAAATGAACCAAGCCGGTAATAAGAGTTATGGGCAAGCACTTGCCATCACCACTCTGAACGTAGTTCCTACCTTGGCATATGAGGATATCAACCCAGTCACTAACACCCAGCAGATAGGAACCCCGCAAGGATCCCGTAGGGGGAGAGGCCGAGGTCGGGGTTCGGGACCTAGAAATAAGTCAAATTCGAACCTCCTCGGATACTACATATACCACAGGTCCTATGGCCGCGACACAGCAAATTGTCGAGACTACGCTCATCTACCCAGCAAGAACCCCCAGGGATAGAAATGAATCACCCCAGGCGAAAATGCCCCCAGCTAGCTATGGCAACTGACCTGGGCGTGAAGAGGCCGCTCCCCGTCAAAGGGATGTTTCCCCGTGACGAAGGGAGCATGATGCAGAGAGGCCCAGGAAAGGGCACAGACACCAAAGAAATCGGCAAACTCAAGATGAGGCCCCTATCCATGAGGTGGATACCATATTTGGAGGCCCACATGTGAGCGGTGAAACGCGAAATGCTAAAAGGAATTACGCCTGTGAGGCTAAGTACCTCACGCTACCTAGCTATATTGTGGACCACAGCTCCCGGAAGAATCAATTTCCACCTATTATCTTCACCCAGAAGGACGCTGAAGGAGTACACTATCCCCACCGCGATGCACTTGTGGTGAGAGCGGTCATAGCCCGGAGTGGGCTCAAACGAATGTTAGTTGACAACGATAGCTCCGTCAATATTCTATTCGTGTCCACCTTCGACAAGATGATACTGGACCACAAGTTGATGCCCACCTCCACTCCCTTGTACGAATTTATGGGAGATAGCATCACTCAAAGAGGAAAGATCGCCCTTGTAGTGGAGATGGGGGAGTCTCCCCAAACTACAATGAACTTCATAGAGTTCCTCATTGTTGACAGTCGATCGGCCTACCACGGAGTATTGGGTAGATCAGCTATAAAGGAATTGGGAGCTCTGAAGGAATTTGAAGCCGTTACCTCCATTCACCAAGTATGCATGAAATTTCCAACGAAAAATGGGGTGGCAAGGGTAAGAGGTGACCAAAGAGGCTCGAGAGAGTGTTACCTAAGCTCCATCAGAAAGGTAGATCTCCGGGACATCCATGTGATTATCGCCAACATAGTCATGGCTGATGTCCCAGGTGATGCTCCCTCCGAACCGGAAGATGTTGAAATGATCGATGCACCACCCATTCTAGAAGTATTGGTCATCGATGAGATTGACCCCCACGTAATTGAATATGAACCTCAACCATCCCCAGTTGAGGAACTTGAGAGCTTCTCAGTGGACCCCCGAGACCCATCCAAATTGTTGAAAGTGGGCAAAGACTTGTCCAACATTTTGAAAGAAAAGATCAAGGATTTCCTAAGTAGGAACCTTGATGTCTTTGCTTGGAGGCTTGAGGACATGGTAGGCATAGACCCCAAGGTCAGTTGCTACCACTTGAAAATTGATCCTAAGGTTATCCCGCACAGACAAAAGAGAAGAGCCCTCAACCCTGAAAGGTATGAGGCCCTGAAGGAAGAAGTTCAGAAGCTCATCCAAAATGACTTTATCAGGAAGGCCACCTATCCGAGGTGGGTCTTTAACCCGGTTTTAGTGAAGAAACACAACAAAAAATGGAGGGTATGCGTTGATTTCACTAACCTCGACAAAGCTTGCCCGAAGGACAACTTTCCACTCCTAAAGATTGACCAACTGGTAGACTCCACGGCTAGGCACGAGTTGTTGAACTTCATGGACACATACTCTGGCTACAACCAAATTTCCATGCACCCGGCCGATGAGGAACACACTTCTTTTATCATAGACAGAGGCCTTTACTGCTATAAGATGATGCCCTTCGGGTTGAAAAATGCTGGTGCCACATATCAAAGGCTCGTCAACAAAATGTTTGTGGACCTTATCGGCAAGACAATGGAGATCTATCTAGACAACATGCTTGTGAAAAGTTTGGAAGATGGAGACCACATAACGCACCTCAACAACACCTTCCAAATCTTGAAAAGGTATGGGATGACACTCAACCCCCTCTAGTGCGCTTTCGGGGTTGCCTCCGAAAAATTCTTAGGATACATGGTCAACCAACGTGGAATTGAAGCCAACCCTGAGAAGATTGAGGCCCTATGCAAGATAAGGTCCCCCTAAAAGCCAAAAGAGGTACAAAGCTTGATTGGGGAAATGGCCGCACTTAGTCGCTTTGTCTCCAAAGCTACAGACAAATGCCTCATATTTTTCAAAGTGTTGAAAGCTGAGAAGAAGTTACAATGGACTGAGGAATGTGAAGAGGTCTTCCAAGGCCTAAAAAGGCACCTAGGGCAGGCTCCCCTCATCTCCAAACCGAAGCCCGACGAGATTCTTCAGCTGTATTTGGCAGTCTCCAATAAGGCCATTAGTGCAGTTCTAATTCGAGAACAGGGGACCACCCAACTCCCCGTATACTACACAAGTAAAGCACTCATATCGTCATTAACCCGTTACCCCACTATGGAGAAGCTCGCTTTGGCCTTGATCACGGCTTCCAGGAAATTGAGGCCCTATTTCCAAACCCACACCATACATGTGCTAACAAACCTTACCCTAAGGTAGGTACTTCAAAAGCCTGATACCTCAGGAAGATTATTGAAATGGGCGCTGGAGATAAGTGAATTTGACCTCGTGTTCAAGGCTAAGGCGACCATTAAGGGCCAAGCCTTAGCTGATTTTGTGGCAGAATTTACCAATTTACCCGAAGTGGATAAAATCATGGAACATGTGAGCCCCCTACGTGGAACTTATTCGTGGATGGATCGACTGGAGATATCGGCTTAGGTGCCGAAGTTGTCTTCATCAGCCCGGAAGGACACAAGTTGAACTCAACTGTGAGGTTCGGGTTCAAAACCACCAACAATGTAGCAGAATATGAGGCGCTTCTTGAGGGCCTCAGATTAGCCAGAGAAATGCAAGTGAAGAGGCTACTTATCAGTAATGACTCCCAGCTGGTCGTTAGCTAGGTGAACAGCAACTTCTACCAGAGACAAAACTATGGCCTCTTACTTGAAAATGGTGATGAACCTCATCCCATGCTTTGAAAAGTTTAAGTTGATCCAGATCCTTCGCATTGAAAATGCACATGCGGATGGACTCTCCAAACTTACAAGTAGCAAGGACTCCGAACTACTCGTAATAGTCCCAATAGAGCACCTCCTCATACCATCAACCGAGGCCTCCAATATGATATGGGTGCCCAGGACTCCTACCTGGATGCAGCCCATCGTAGCCTACCTAAAGGACCAGGTACTTCCCACTAATAAGCATGAAGCTTACAAGCTAAGGAGGAGGTCAGCTCATTTCCTCTTCATTGATGATGTATTCCACAAGAGGAGCTTCTCATTTCCACTCCTTCGATGCGTGGGAGGAGAAGAGGCTACCTACATCTTAAGGGAAGTCCACGAGGGCGTTTGCAACAACCACTCCGAAGGTCTATCTTTGGTGCAAAAAATACTGAGACAAGGATACTATTGGCCCACCTTGAAAAAGGATGCCCTCCAGTTTGTACAAAAATGTGACAAATGCCAACGATTTTCTCCTATCCAAAGACAACCATTGCAATATTTGACCACGCTCTCCAGCCCCTTCTCGAAGTGGGATGTGGACCTCATAGGTCCTCTACCGAAAGGCAGAGGAGGCGTGAGCTTTGTAATTGTGGCCATTGATTACTTCAAGAAGTGGGTTAAGGCTGTACCACTGGAAAAAATCACAGAAGCAAATACTTCCAAGTTCTTGTGAAAGAACGTTATATGCCAGTTTAGGATTTCCTACTCAATCATCTCAGACAATGGTAAACAATTCGACAAAAAGAAGGTCAGAAGTTTGTGTGAAGAACTTGGCAACAAGAAGCACTTCTCCACACCTCACCACCCATAAGCAAATGGCTAGGTTGAAGCTGTGAACAAGACCATCAAACACGTCCTGAAAAGGAAGCTTGATGTGTCAAAAGGGGCCTAGGTAGATGAGCTGTCACAAGTGCGTTGGGCAATCCAAACCACTATGAGGACCCCCACAGGGGAAACACCTTTCCTCATGGCATACAGAACTGAGGCAATGAGCTCCGTCGAGGTCGGACTTCCATCTCCATGATATCTGCACTTTAGTGAAATAAGAAACGACGAGCTTCGGAGGTGAGACCTCGGTTTCATTGAGGAAAGAAGAGATGACGTCCAACTAAAGCTCGCCACATATTAAAGAAAGATGACGAAGTACTTCAACTCAAAGGTAAAGAAGAGGTCATTTTGAATCAACGACCTGGTCCTTAGGAGAGTATTCCTCTCCTCCAAGGAACTAGGCACCAGTACCTTGGGTCTGAATTGGGAAGGCCTGTATAGAATCAAGGAAGAGATCCAACCTGGGACATACTGGATTGAAAACATGGACGGAAAGGCACGACCCCGTCCATGGAACATTGAGCACCTCCGAATCTATTATCAATGAATGTGCTACCTCGCTGGATGCCATTGGGAGAAGTCTCAACATGGATGCACCACCCACCATGTTGGGAAGCGTCATCACCTCGGATGAGAGGTTAACGTCCCATCTTTGGGCCACCTCACTTGAACTCCGAGGCGCACGCCACTTGCCTCCCTTTGGCGAGGCTGAGCACAATAGGGAGAAGCCTCAACATGGATAAACCATCCACCATGTTGGGAAGCATCGTCACCTCGGAGGAGAAGTCAGCATCCCATCTCTAGGCCACCTTGCCTGAACTCCGAAGCACACGCAACTTGCCTTCCTATGGCGAGGCTGAACGCTATTGGGAGAAGCTTCAACATGGATGAATCATCCACCATGTTGGGGAGTATCGTCACCTCGGAGGAGAGATTAGCATCCCATCTCTGGGCCACCTCGCTTGAACTTCGAGACGCACGCCATTTGCCTCCCTTTGGTGAGGCTGAACGCCATTGGGAGAAGCCTTAACATGGATCAAACTTCTTTACCCATTGATTCACAAAGCTCAACCACAACGAGCTTCACGCAACTACCTTTTCAATCAGACCTAGCAATGTTCTTAGTTCAGCTGAAAGACGATCCAGTCTTAGGATCTGTTCAGGTTACAGTTATTAAGCTTAAGTACAATTTACATGCTTAAGCCTAATATCAGTCATGGTTTGTGTGGCTTAAAGTACAATTTACTTATTTAAGTTATTGGAGTTGGGATATCAAGTCAAGATTATTTAATTCTTCAATCAATCTTAAGTTCAATTACTTAACGAGGCTAATGCACTTGGAAGAATAACAACATTGAATGAAAGAGATTATATCGATTTTCAATCAGTTATAAAAGGAGGGCATGAGGCCAATACATCGAAATTAATTGAAAAATAAACTATACTAAGCCTCGGATGATGGTGGAGGTGCCTCGGCAGTAGGAGCCTCCGCAGCCTGTGGCAATGTAGTCTTTGACTACCTCCTCCTTTGCCTTGGCCAATTCATCCACATGCCACTTTATTTGGCTCTCCAAGAACTTGTAGGTGTCTTGGGCCCCAGCCAGCTGCAGATTGGCCTTCTCCAAGGCCTCAGCAGTCACCTTTTGGTGGTTATTGGAGACCTCCACTTTCTTGGTAAGGGAAGCCACCTCGCACTGGGACTCATGGACCTCCTTCTTCAAGGCCTCGATCTGGGCCAAAGTAGACTACAGCTTGGGCACGTCTTCATTTTTTTGGGGCCTCGCTTCCTCTGCCTCAGCTCTGACCTTCTTCAACTCCTCTACGAGGGAGGTCACCTTCTTCTTCGAGGATTAGGTCCTTGTCTGAAAATCAATAAGGACCTCCCTGCACTCCAATGCGAGGCCAAAGGTTCTCACACTTTGGCTCAGAAGGGTCAAGTCCATCGTGTCACAGAAAAAGGCATACAATTACCATCGGTCCATCCAGAATTTGTAGAAGTTCTTAGTCACGTTTCGAATCTCGGCTAGCAGAGCCTGAACAAACGTTGGAGCCAGGACCTCCTCCCTCCCGAAAAGGAAGTTCAGAGATTTCCCTTGCACTCTTGCGGGCCTCTGCTTGGCAGCTTCATCCTCTGCCTTCTCAGCAGCCGTCCTCGCAATAGCCTCCTCAGCCTCGGCGCATCGTACCATTTCAATCTTCACCGCTTTTGAGGCGGTCTCCAGGAGCTTCAACTGAGGGGCTTATTTTCCTTCGTGGGACACCGAGGTCTTGAACTTCCTAGATGAGCTGGTGATGTGCACCAGCTTCCTCTTCTTCTACTCCTTGAGGACCTTCTCCTTTTTCCGAGGCTCTTTAGCCTTCTCTAGCCTTTGAGGGGTCCCCTCCTCAGTACCCCTGGAACTGCTATCTTTGGAGAGGCGCTCCACCCTTCCCCAGACCTCCTTGGCACCATTTGACCCCGACTTCAGGGGCCTCGCCACCACATTGGATGTGGCCCTAAGGATAGAGGCCATGTCTGGGGTTGGGTACTCCCTCCTTTTGAACTTGTCTGCAAAGCATGTCAGTACATCAGTATCGAAACAAAAAGTAAGAAATACACGAAGTATACAAGCCTCTTACCTTTGGAGGCCATCAATTCAAAGTCAATGAAGTAGCGGCTTCAGCCAATGAGGTGGTCAAAGTGCCGAAGTTTCAGAGGTCTCTTGTAAATGTCCTCTATCACTTCAAACTCCTTCTTGCTCACCTCAACAGCTAGAAAAAGAAAATTTTGAATATAGAATGTAAACTACTTAGGCTGGGAGACTCACGAGCTTCATAGTACTGGGTCGGTACTGTGCAAGCCAAGGCTGTGTCCCCCTCCACTGCCTGCTACCTGCCCCTCACCCAGAACCACGATTCCTTCCGCCCCTTGATGGAAAAAGGTAGCCCTACCACAAATGGTGAGTGAGCCCCCTAAGGAGTTAAGTAATACCACTCCTTTAACTCCTTACCTCACCCTAGGCTGGAATAGGGTCATGAAGACGTGGAGAGATATGTCCTCCCCAAGTGACACTTCCTTCCATAAGAAGTATGAGCCAACCAACTGGCTCCACCCATTTGGCAGAACCTGGGTCG